ATATGAAGGAAAGGCATCTCTCTAGCCTGGTTGAATCTTACTATGACAAAATGCTCAAGGGAATAAACATCTCTTAGGAGCTAAACACAGAGACAAGGAAACATTGGTAACTCTAGTAAGAAAGACTAAGGGCTTTGCTAATTATTAAGTAAGTAGTGCTTTTGCAAGTCAAGAGACTGTTCTCAGCGTTCAGCAATACTGAAGGAATACCTAATTGAGTAGTCTGCTAGTCATTTAAAATTATTTCTTGATGATAGGTCACTACATGATTGTTAGCATATAACTTAGGTTCAAAGATTGAAAAAAATTTTCCCATTCTCATCTCAATGTTTACATCTACAAAAATGAAGAATAGGGCCGGGCACGGTGGCTCACACCTGTAATCCCAGCACTTTGGGAGGTCAAGGGAGGGCGGATCACTTGAGGTCAGAAGTTCGAGACCAGCCTGGCCAACATGATGAAACCCCGTCTCTACTGAAAATAAAAAATTAGCCGGGTATGGTGGCACGCACCTGTAATCCCAACTACTCAAGAGTCTGAAGCAGGAGAATCACTTGAACCCAGGTGGCAGAGGTTGCAGTGAGCCGAGATCTTGCCACTGCACCCCAGCCTGGGCAACACAGCAAGATTCCATCTCAAAAAAAAAAAAGAACAACAACAGAATTGTAGCAATAAGTAAATTTTCAGCCATGTATATACATGAACTAATTGAGAAAATAAAGCTATGTTCTTATTAACATACATGGCCAATAACTTTATTTTTATGTTCAACAATTGCTTTATCAATGTGTAATGCATTTTGACCAATTTCGTACCAATTGTAATAACTGAATCCAAAATATTTTAAAGTTTATAAACATTTTTATAGCAAAGAAGTATGATAGGATGATCATTAAAATATCAGGCATGAGGCCGGGCGTGGTGGCTCACACCTGTAATCCCAGCACTTCGGGAGGCCGTGGCAGGTGGATCACAAGGTCAGGAGATCAAGACCATCCTGGCTAACACAGTGAAACCCCGCCTCTACTAGAAATACAAAAAACAAATTAGCTGGGCGTGGTGGTGGGTACCTGTAGTCCCAGCTACTCGGGAGGCTGAGGCAGGAGAATGGCATGAACCCGGGAGGCAGAGCCTGCAGTGAGCCGAGATCGCGCCACCGCACTCCAGCCTGGGCGACAGAGCGAGACTCCATCTCAAAAAAAAAAAAAAAAAGGCATGAAAATATGTTACACTAGAATACAGTGGGTTGGAAATAGAGGTCCAGGAAGAAAAAAAGATGATATAAAACTTCTAACTTAAAAATTAGCTTCTTTTTATTAATGGATGATGGTAGCTATCAAATTGCTGTTACGTTTAGATTATATTGGATGTTTTTAAAAGACTGAGGTAACAGTTATTTTTAAATATGCTAGAAATTATATCCTTTATAATTTAAATTTATGATAATAAATTTAAATATCAGTGTATGAAGTGATGCCTAGTTTTCCCAAATCTCTTTGAGAGTATGCAAGTAGAAAATTTGAAGACCACTGATAATATATTCTCCACATTCAGAAGGAAACTTCAGTGATCTAGTCTGGTCTCACACCCATTATTTAGTTTGGTTATCCAGCTAAATCACACCAGGGATTTTTTTTTTTTTTTTTTTTTTTTTTTGAGACGAGTCTCACTCTGTCGCCCAGGCTAGAGTGCAGGGGCGCAATCTCGGCTCACTGCAAGCTCCACCTCCCGGGTTCACGCCATTCTCCTGCCTCAGCCTCCCGAGTAGCTGGGACTACAGGTACCCGCCACCACACCCGGCAAATTTTTTGTATTTTTGGTAGAGACAGGGTTTCACCATGTTAGCCAGGATGGTCTCGATCTCCTGACCTCATGATCCGCCTGCCTTGGCCTCCTAAAGTGCTGGGATTACAGGTGTGAGCCACCGCGCCCAGCCCCCGCACCAGGGATTTTTAACTTGCCAAATGTGTATGATTGATTTGAAGGCAATAATCCATCCTAGACATGCCTTTTAACTGTCACTCCTACAGCAGAGTAAAATATTTCATAACAAAGATTTGGTTTTCCTTCAAGTTTTTCAGCATTAATTTTAGACATCCAGCCCAAATAGCTACAACAGGTTTGCATACCTTATCATGATTTTGGAATGCACTGTTCATCAAAACTATTATCTCTGGGAGAAATTACAAACTTTAGAATCTACGTAAGTAAAGGAAGCAGCAGATTATTTTCCATTTACCTAGACCAAGGCCTTCAAAAAATGATGAATTGACACTGTATTCTGTGAGCATTATAAGTTTGGTTCTATTAATGTAAGAAAAATTTCATTTTCTGTAATTTAATGTTTTCTCTTAAAATATGCCTTGACAATCTGCATCATTTTTTAATTTGGCATAGTATTCCATCCTATGGATGTTCCATGATTTATTTAACCTTTGATCTGCTGGTGAACATTTAGTTAGCTTTATCTATTGCTGAACATTTTGCTATTCAACACGATGCTTTAATTAACATTCTTTTATACATTTGTGTTGTTTCTTTACAGCCAATTACCATGTCAAAGAAAATGTGCATATTTAGTTTTAGTAGATACAGTACTGCAAAATCCCTCTAAAAAAGCTTAGCAGTGCTGATTTCCCTATACCGTCCCTACCTGTGGATACTATCAGACTTTTAACTTTTTGCTGTTTAAAAAGACATTACACATGCACTCATACACACAAAAGCAGTCTTTGTTTAAATGTCACCTTCTTAATGAGGTCATCATAATTTTCCTCTTAAAATTGAACCACCACCCCCCTCAGCATTCCTTAATCCCCTTTACACTATTTTCTGTAGACCTTCTGGCATGCTGTTGTTTCTCTCTTCTTACTCTAGACTGTAGGCTCCAAAAAGGCAAAGTTTTGAGTTTTTGTCCTGTTCATTATGAACAATGCTTGGCATATGATTAAAAAAACCTCACATATTTATTGAATTAAATGGCCATGGCAGTTGTAGAATACACATGAATTTCAGCCATAGCTGTTATGTTTCTCCTTTGGCCCATCTGTCCCTGGTTTAAATACATCTCACCTGACAAGAAAGTTCTCTTAAAAAGTAGCCACAACTGCTTAGAGTGCATTACTCTAAGCAAATCACCCATGTCTGGCTATTAGCAGGCCGTGTGGGAGAAGGAAATACTGTCTGTATAGCAACATGTAGTCAACAATAGGCTGCATATATAACAGTGGTTCTATAAGATTATAATGAAGCTGAAAAATTCCTGTTGCCTAATGATATCATACCCATTGTAATGCTCATGATATTATGGCAGAACACTTTACTTTTTCTATGTTGATACACAAATACTTAACCATTGTGTTACAATTGCCTACTGTATTCAGTACAGTAACATGTACACGTTTATAGCCTAGGCCCAGTAGACTGTACCATATAGCCTAGATTTATGTTAGGCTATACCATCTAGATTTGTGTAAGTACACTCTTAGGATGTTTGCACCATGACAGAACCACCTAATGATGCATTTCACAGAACATATCCCATCATTAAGAAACCCATGACTGTACTCCTTCCTACTCTGGACTCCCAGGGCAGTTGATTATCAAAGTAGAGCCCAGCCAGTGCTGGCCATCCAACCACCACCTTGCTTATTTTAGCCCTTCCCTTCCTGTTTCTTTCCTGCCAATGCCTAAGGGGGCCTAGAAACAAGAACCAACCCTATTAAAACAGACATTCTATCCAGGCAAGTGACTGAAACTGATCTGCCCCACACTAGGCACAACCCACTCCCTACCATCCCTTTGGCTCCACACCATTTACAGTAACAGTGGCACCTTAGTCAAACAGAGAACTGAGGTTTGGTAGAGCACCAAGTTTCATTGTTTTTGTCAGGTCAGATTTTGGATGTGAAAAAGGTATCAGACTAAGAGAAAACAAAGAATAGTGACAATTCAGAGTAGCTGGAGTTGCTTACGCTATATAACAGCTAAGAGTTGTTCATCTACCACTTTAGCATTTTGGTGATACATATAAAACTCCTAAGCTCCTATGTATTTCCTTCACATTTATCAACATCTATAATGTCCTCCCTTTCAGTGGCATATCATGTCAGGTTTGCTTCAAATAAGGAAACATGATCATAATGAATATTTTCACTGTGATATATTTAATGGAGAGGCTAGGTGGTATTTTTGATACTTTAATTCAAGGCTAATCAGGGGGTCTGCAACGCTAGTAACCTTCATCCTAACCTGGAGGAAAAAAAAAAAAAAAAAAGGGCAGTGATCACTAGGTACCACTGGCAGGCCTAAAAAGAAAAGAATATTGTAGAAGCTGTGCAGTCTAAGGAAATTGTATATTTATTTACTTCACATTCCATTTAGTGATGAGTTGCTTTATTCCTGGTCCATTACTTATTTCATCATCTCTCCCAGCTAGAGCAGTATAGGGGTAAAGTTTGATGACAAAGTTCTGGAAAGCAGATAGAGGTTTTCAGGAACTTAGACATTCCAGAATAAGAATCTGAGCAAGAGAGAGGAAGAGACTTGAATACAGAGTAGGAAGCTTTTATTAGGAATGTCAAAGTAGTGGAGCAGGAATAACGAAGACCAGAAGAAGCTTCACTTGATTATAATTAATTTGCAGTGGTTGGTAAAGGCAGGCACCAAGCCAGATTCACCACTTTATAAATAATAAATCTGCGGGGGTGGTGTTGTGAAAGATGCATGGTAAGGTTGCATCAGCAAGGTGAATCACTTGAGTGGGTGGGACCGTCTAGAAAAGCATCTGTGTGTTTGGAAAGGGATCATTCTACAGCTTAGTCTGGAACACCTTGAACACACAGCATAGCAGAATCTTGGCTGTAATACTTGGAGCAAATGTCACTGGCAAAAATGGCATATATGCTGGGATGTTCATAAGAAATACTCAGTTAAGTACTGCTGGTCCTTTCGCATATAGAATCTCAGTATTAGAGGAAAACAGTAAACTGAAACTCTACCTTATTTCTGTTCTTTACGAGCCAGTTTCACCTATTGTATTACTTCGTTACCAATTGCAGCTGTGTAGCCAGTGAGCCATAGGATTCTTTTTGTTAGGCACAAAGTAGAAACCAGCTGTTGAGACAAGTAGGAATCTTATGTTAGCCTGCCAGTTCCTCCTTTTCCTACCTACCTGCCTCACCCCCCGTCTCAAATGGTGGTCATGTTTTTTGTCACTCACCATTCAGGGGAGATGCTATCAATGAACCATGCTGGCTACACACAAATGCCTTTTCCTCAGATGATATTAATCATCTTTGCCTTAAAAACTGAAGCTCTTCCAAGTTTTCACTATGAGAGAAAAAAAAATTATAACACCTAGCCTTGTAGTTAACACAACTGAATAATGGAAGTTGACAAGATCTAAATGTTTATGCAAACTATCCCAAGGTCACAGGAAATTAATGGCAATATTATACAAGGTTAGGGTAGTTCACTTTCTATAGGAATTTGGATTTTACTTCTTAAACTACAACAGAAATGTCTCAGGCAATCTGCTTTGGGAATTTATTCTTGAATAATACTGATTTCTCATTGAAGGAAAAAATACTGTATCCAACAACTCAGATATGGCGGAATTGAAGTCAATGTTCCGGGAAGTTCTTCCAAAACAAGGTATGTACATCACAAATATTGAAGTCATTATTATAGGGACTAAACAAGTGATAGGCAGTGTCACATAGGAGGCTTAATAGCTAAACATCTATAGCTATTGTGTTCTGTATTATCCCATTTACTGTCTACTTTTACTATATGCTTTTTCATATCCAGTAAAAAGATAACAAATGAAACATTTGTTATCTTACCTTATACCTAAAATTGCCAATTAGCTAATTAATTCCTAAAATTGCTAATTACAATATGAATTTTTTTTTTTTAAAGAAACAGGTTCTCACTCTGTCAGCCAGGCTTGGGTACAGTTGGCACAATCATAGCTCACTGCAGCCTTGAACTACTGGGCTCCTGCCCTAGCCTACTGATATGCTAGTACTAGCCAGGCATGTGCTACCATGCCTGGCTAATTTGTTTTTATTTTTGTAGAGACGGGATCTCAATGTGTTGCCTAGGCTGGTCTCAAACGATCCAACCCCTTTGGCATCCCAAAGTGCTGGGATTACAGGTATGAGCTACCATGCCCGGCTCAATATGAAACTTCAATGAAAGAAATAGTGGAATTTACTGTAATGTTAAATAAGGTCTGAAAGTGGAAAAAGAGAAACCTAAAGCAACAGTAAGAAAAGCCAAAGGTTTAAACATTGTTACTTGTATATTTATGTTAAATATCATACTTTGCTATATTTTTTGCACTATGTATATATATTCTGCCAAATCTTATTTTAAAATTAAACTTCTGACACAAAAAGTTGTGTCTTATGGTAGCATAGATTCTTGGGTAGAAAGCTCAAAACTTGTCTTCCTCAGAAATACAAATGCTGCTTAAAGTGACAATGATCTTTCTGGTCCCACAGCAAAACTCAGTTTAGGTACAAGAGTTTTTCACTGACATCAGATTAATTTTTTAGACCTTCATTCTAGCTGCAAATCTAACTACCAAACAACTGGGTTATCTTTCTTGAATTAATTCTTATTTCTTCTTAAACTTAGGGCCATTGTTTGTGGAAGATATAACCACAATGGTGCTGTGTAAACCCAAACTTTTACCCTTAAAATCTCTGACTCTGGAAAAACTAGAGAAAATGCATCAAGCAGCACAGAATACAATTCGCCAACAAGAAATGGCAGAAAAGGATCAACGGCAAATAACCCACTGAATAACTGAGCACTTTAGGGAACAACCTACATTATCTACTATTTAATAATAACTAGAAAATATGCTTCTGTGTGCTGAAAGTAGTATGTGTTAATATTATCAATAAAATTGAGAGTATTCATATAAATACAAAAATATCCAAGATTGATGAAATTTGTATTATGAATATAAACACGCTGGTTTGTATTGAACATAAACAGTTGAACTATGAACCAAGTTTTATGGGGTTTAAGTCATGTTTTTAGAATTGCAAATTAAATTATTTGTTCACCATTGCTATTGCTATCTTTTATAGGTAACTTTCTTGGGATCTCTTATAGATAACATTCTTGGGCACAAGGGACTAAATATAACTTTTATATACAGAGGATCTTTATGTTTATTAAATCTGAAGATACATTCCAATCTTGCATAAAGTGTTCATTGAACTTTTACATTACATAAAAAACAAAGTTTTTAAACCAATTTTATGTGCTGTGTCACGTTTAATGCTATCTTGTGTGACCAGATCCTACCAGTAATAACAAAACTGTCTTAAACCTTTTTTTTTTTAAGACAGAGTTTCGCTCTTGTTGCCCAAACAAGTGCAATGGCACCATCTCAGCTCACTGCAACCTCCGCCTCCTAGGTTCAAGCTATTCTCCTGCCACAGCCTCCCAAGTAGCTGGGACTACAGGCATGCACCACCACGCCTGGCTAATTTTGTATTTTCAGTAGAGATGGGGTTTCTCCATGTTGGTCAGGCTGGTCACAAACTCGCAACCTCAGGTGATCCGCTCACCTTGGCCTCCCAAAGTGCTGGAATTACAGGCGTGAGCCACCATGCCCAGCCCTTAAATCTCATTTTTAAGAAACCCTCACCTATTCTGTGGGCAGCTAACTTTTAATTACATTAATTTTAAGGACTTGAGAATAAAATGCATTTATCATCCAAGTGTCAAACAATAAAAAACCTAAAAATGGTAACTATATTTATATAAGCCAAGGTAATATGGGCTTGATAAAACCCATGAGGTAAATATGAACATTAAACTTGGTTTTAATTCTAACGGACTGTATCTAAACCTGTAATTAGTATACTCCTAACAGTACCCTCATATATTCTGAATATAATTCTTGTTTGCTACAGTCAATATTTAGCAGTTTAAATTAGCATAGACCTTGAGGCCTTGCTGAGTTATTAGGCTATGTAAAAGAGGTTAAATATATGATAATTCTGTGTTACTAATTGGTAATATTTTCTCATACATTGGGTAAATGTCAAGCTTTGGGTCTTTGGAGTATAACTTTTTGTAACACTAGCCATTATTTGGTAACAGAATTTAAGGATGATGGAATGATGGAAGGTATAACATATTTCTAAAACTTAATTAAGCTCTAGGTCAGATAACAATGGAGTAAAGTAATACCTGCATTTTTTTCCCCAGTGTAATCTTAATTTACTATTGTACTTTTCACTTGAAATTTTGTAGGGAAAAAAAGTTTTCAAGGAACACTAAGATTAAATTCACTAGGTTCAAATATGCTTCTTTATGAGATTTAAACTTTACTGTGTGAAATTAAAGTTTAAGAGACCTAAAATAATGTACTCCCAATAAAGAATCAACACTGCTTCACATGTTTTATTTTGGTGTACATTCTTCTAGAACCAGGTTCATTTTTCCAGTTTTGTAGAAAAATAGATGTTCCAGCCACCATTTACTTAACTGTCTAGTCTTTTAAGACCAATCAGTATGTTCCCTGGAAAGATGAATAAGTCTCATGACTAATTTTTAAAAAATTCTTTAAGACAAAGAAACAACTTTCTTTTTTTACTCCCAAAGCACAGTATCTCAACAGCAGCAGCCAACATGGGGTTTTAGCAGCTTAACTTTACCCCCTAAATAAAGCTTTGTATAAACCAGTGATTTTACTACAAAAAACACTGTCCTTGAAAGAAAGGAGTGGCAGTCAGACATCAATGCAAAACTTGGAATGATTAGGTCATAAACATGGCACTTACAAAAGGTAGCTTATTAGAATATTCCACTTAAGAAGAGGTTACTTTTCTGTCCCTCCTTTGCCCCCTCGAAAAAAAAAAAAAAAAAAAAAAAAAGAAAAAACATTTCCTTTAAAAATTCCCCTTAAATGTAGGTTTATAAAATGTCAGAAATGCCTTGTACCCAAAACAAGTGCTTAAAAAAAAAAAAAAAAAAACTTGTGCTAACAACTCTTACAATTCAGATATATATTTTTAAAACATCTAAGACTGCAAGAGTTCTTATATTCAGTAGCTCTCTGGTTTAAGACGACCTCCATCTCCTTCGCTTACAAAACGCTTTCTGCCCCTGTAATGAAGAAAAAAAACGAAGACATGAAAACAGATACAGATTCTGACTATAGTCAACAAAAAAAATTAAAAACATGGTATTTTTTTGTTATGTGTTAGCTTTTAAAGGGTTTTCCATTTTTTTTTAAAAAAAAAAGCATGCCTCTAATTCCTTTGTAAAAGACTCCCTACTATATATCTTACCATAAAACATCAATATCAAATCTGAGTTTTTGTTTTAGTAAGTTCACTATCCAAACAGTCACATTAAAAAAAAGTTGACTCAAACTAAAGCATTTTATTTAGAAATTTAAATTTATTTCTAATTATTATTTATAAGCTTAACAGTGAGCCAAATAAGAAACACTAACATAATTCAGAATAATGCAAACTGGAGCTGTGGAACCTATCAAAATATCCATGTTTGACAATTAAAAAAAATAAAAAGTTTTATCAACTGTAGAGAAGCCATAACTTGAATGTGGAAAAAAGAAATCAGAATCATAGCCTATGCCCCATGTTGGGATTTGTGCTTTGTCAAACTCAAAAAGCCCTGCTCTATAACGTAACCACACTCTAGCTAGTGGAAATAGCCCAGAAGGAACAGCTGGCCAGTGGCCTAAAGCAGTAAGTGGGAAATAGAACTTGGGCGACATTAGCCCTTACTCTCTGACCCCAGGCACAAGCATGCAAAACCACACACAAACGTGCACCTCACCCAAATAGGCTAAAAGATAAAGGACCCAAGTCAAAGCTATATGGTATGTATACACAGAAAGTTTATTGCCTCACATGACCCTTGAGAATAAAGCCACACAGAAACATTCAGACTTTCAAACAGAGGCTGAAAAACTTTCAAAAAGTCAATGCCAGGGTACTGGCCCCTTTTCATATCAAGTCTAAGTGGAAAACAGCTACATCATCTTGAACATAAAGGCTTCAGACTACGTATTGAGACCAAGGTAGGGAATGAAGAAGCAGTCAATAATAATAAGGCCTGCCAAAGTTCAGAGTTTTTACTAATGTATACCACTTGGCACATCCATACATAAATCCTGCCATCACCAAACTAATGTCTATATTTCCAAATATTTCTAGTAAAGCTATTAAACTATCTTTCATCACTTTCTTTTCCCTCTCTTTTAATGGCTTCTAAAATTCTAAAGCAAAAGCCCCTACTAGGAAATATTTTTCTGAGTTTTAATTCTTACAATGCACTTAAATAAAAATATCAAAGCTTAAGAAATTTTCCAGATAAAAAATTGTAAGAACTTAAGATTATATAAAACTGACCCACACAAGCAGTAAGTTTGGCTATTACTAAACATTTATATTATTACATTATAAGCTTCATTATTAGCTTTAACAACAACAAAAAAACTTAGCAACTCCTTAAGAGTTACATCCTAGTAGCAAAAAAATAGCTCCAAGGAAAATCACCCACACACATACACTTTCCAGTGAGAACATCCTCCACACACCCCCCAACACACACACTTTCCAATGAGAACATCCAATTAGACCCAATTCTCCAACCTGTAAAGAAGTCAAGGAAGCCATGTCCAGTACAGGTAAGAGCCTAGATCTTTGAAGCCAGAAAAGTCCTGGATTCATACTTGGCTTCTACCATGTACTAGCCATGTGACCTTAGAAAAAGTATACCTCCCTAAGCCTCAATTTTCTCATCTTATCACTGATAATACCTACTCTAAAATAACACTGAAACTACTTACAACAACGGAACTGCTCCACAAGATTAGTTTCTTTCAAATGAACTGGGACTTCATGAGGCAGTCCTGTACAGATTTACAAGGGGGCTAAAAGAAGCTTCGCCCTTCTTTCTCCATGAACTCACAAGAGTCATGTTCTTCAGTGACTTCAGGGAATGATAAACTAACTTAGCACTTAACTTTCCCAAAGACCTCATCCACTATTTTATATTGAGAAAGTAGTTAAAGTACCTTGAAGGACAAAGATCTCTGAGTTGTTTGGAAATTATTCCAGACTGAAAACATTCTTCTACAAACTGCTCCAGCACAGAGTACGAATGTGGGACATCCAGATTAATGTCTGGAATTTCGTTGTAAATTCTCTCATAACCCTACAACAATGAAATTACACACAGAAGTGTTAGCCAATACAAAATATATGTCATAAAACACAATCGATCCATCACTATGTCATCAATCTATATTTAAGGCCAAATTTTCAAGTGGTTAAACTGAAGTCTGATTTGAATAGTGAGAAGCACAGAAAGTAGATTTGTTACAGTGTTTTACAACTGTTCTCTTTTATTAGAGTCAGAAAATAACAGACACTGGCAAGGTTGAGGAGAAAAGGGAAGCTTTATATGCTGTTGGTGGGAATGCAAATTAGTTCAGCCCCCGCAGAAAGTGGTTCGGAGATTTCTCAAAGAACTCAAAATAGAATTACCATTCAACCCAACAATCCCATTACTGGGTGTATATCCAAAGGAAAATAAATCATTCTACCAAAATGACACCTGCATTTGTATATTTATCGGGTACTATTCACAAAAGCAAAGACATGGAATCAACCCAAGTGCCCATCAATGGTGGATCAGACAAAGAAAATGTGGTACATATATGTCCATGGAATGCTACATAGCCATAAAAAAGAACAAAATCATGTCCTGTGCAGCAACGTAGATGCAGCTGGAGGCCATTATCCTAAGAAAATTATCACAAACATAAAACCAAATAATGCATGTTCTCGCTTGTAAGTGGGAGCTAAACATTGGGTACACACAGACATGAAGATGGGAATAATAAACACTGGGAATTTCAAAAGTGGGGAGGTGGGAAAGAAGACAAGAGTTGAAAAACTACCTATCAGGTACTGTATTTACTACCTGAGGGACAAGATCATTAATTAGAAGCCCAAACCTCAGCATCACTCAATATACCCATCTAACAAACCTGTTCATGTACCCCTCTGATACCTAAAATTTTAAATATAAATTTAAAAAATAGGTAAAATTGGTTACATAGCTAAAAAAATTTTTTTAAATACTGTTCTCTTAAAAGAGCTGTAGGCAGACACCAGACATTGAGCAAACTCCTTTCCCATCTACTTCTCTATATACACTTAGTACGTTTTTAAAAAAAATACAGGGCAAACACAAACCTCACAAACATTTAAAACAAGAATCATAAAATTTTAAATAGGAAAAAAGTACTTTATAATTTGTTAAAAGTTAAAGGTTCATGTTTCTCGCTAGATATAAAATAGAAATTGTCACATCTTAGAAACCAAACCCTTGAGGTAGAATAATCACATTTGTTAAAGTAGATTAAAAAAAAAAAAAAAAAAAAACCACACTGCAGTGTTACTTTCCAAGAAATGGTTGCAAAAGGTTCAAACCTCAAACATTACCATTAAGAAAAAATAAAACATATAGGCATAATAACACTAAACATACCTAAAGAAAAGTCACTGACAATTCATAATCTGTATTCAATCATATATTTAAGGCATAATCCTAAAAGTTGTTCAAAAATAATGTTATACTTACTCTTTTCATTTGGTCTACAGTAATGGTAGAAGACTTCCAAAGGGACTTTAATAAATCCAAAATCATCTTAAATGTACTTTCTCCAGTTGACTCTAAAACCATTATAACAGCCTAAAAATTGAATCAATGAGTGAATTTTTGGTTAATTTATATATGAAACCGCTCCTAAATGTATCAGATGCCTTTTGTAATAGTAAAAATTTAAAAACCACTTCCTCCTTTGATACTAAAAAAAGGATGTACATTATTTAAAAAGCATAAGTCACTATGGTACAAAAAGGAACACTTAATAATTCTCTTTGACATGGCAAGGTAATCTTACTTCATATACAAGCTCATGGTGAAAATGAGGTACTTCCAGTTCCTTAAGGCAATGTTCAGCTTCAGATATGTCTCCAGAGAGTAAATATTCTTTCAGCAGCATATCAATCTATTAGATTTAAAAGTTGAGATGTGTTAGAATTCCTAACTTTTTTTTTTTTTTTTTTTTTTTTTTTGAGACGGAGTCTTGCTCTGTAGCCCGGACTGGAGTGCAGTGACCAGATCTCGGCTCACTGCAAGCTCCGCCTCCCGGGTTTACGCCATTCTCCTGCCTCAGCCTCCGGAGTAGCTGGGACTACAGGCGCCCGCCACCTCGCCCGGCTAGTTTTTTGTATTTTTAGTAGAGACGGGGTTTCACCGTGTTAGCCAGGATGGTCTCGATCTCCTGACCTCGTGATCCGCCCGTCTCGGCCTCCCCTAACTTTTAAAATATTGTGCTTGCCTACAGGATTATTTGCCCTCATTCCAATATAATGAAATAATGGGTAACAGCTAGTAACATATAGACTGGACATGGTACTGTTATCACAGAATTTTTCATAATTAAAAAATAAATCCCCAATTTTTAAATGGTTCATAATTATGACTCAAATGCAATGCTTCAGTGTGTCTGAATCACTGAGATCTACGAGTAGGTTTATAATGGACGCGTCCTGGGCTGTGACCATAATGCTTTAGTGTGCCACTAAAAATAAGGGATTTTAAATACCACTAGAGGGCACTAACAAAGTTTCAACATAAAGTGGCATAAATATTTCACTTCTATCAAGATGCTCTTAATAGTGCACTGAAAGCCAAAAAATGAGGATGATAATGGGGCATTACTAGACAGGGCAAAGATTTCCACATAGTTTCTCTTTTCTCTACAACTGAGAATTTGAAACTCATTATTTAAAATGTTCAATAATTCAGTTTCCAGCTGTAAAGAAACAAGTCTTGATTTTCCTGCTCAAACTTGAACATCTCAAAAAAGTGGGAGAACTTTTTCAGCACAAGAGCTTCAGCTAGGAATATTTTTGCCTATATGTTCTTTGTTAAAATCCTCTTTGTATTTGGTGGGCACATATCTAGTTGTCTGAATGTTGAATGCTGGCTGAATTTTAAAAAATCATATTTAAGTATCCTTCCAACTTTTATAATGTATTTTCATAAAAGGTAAAGTAAAATTTAATTGCTGTCATGCTTTAGGATGTAATATTTACATGTAAGTAAATATGTATTTAAATATTTACATGTAATATTTAAAGCACAGCATTTGAATATATTTACTTTATAATTACAAACTAATACATAATCATGCGTTTAATAGGGATACATTCTGAAAAGTGTGTTACATGACTGTCATGGTGCAAACATCATACAGTATACTCACAAAAACCTAGATGGTATAGCCTACTACACACCAGTGCTATATGATATAGCCTATTGCTCCTAGGCTACAAATCTGTACAGCAGGTCAGTATATTGAATAATATAGGCAATTAGAACACAATGGTATTTGTGTATCTAAACATAGAAAAGGTACAGTAAAAATACAGTATAAATGATTTTTAAAATGATACACCTGTATAGAGCACTCAATATGAATAGAGCTTTCAGGATGGAAGTTACTCTGGGTGATTCAATGAGTGAGTGGTTAGTGAATGTAAAGGCCTAAGACATTACCCATACACCGCTATGCACTTTATAAACACTGTATACTTAGGCTACACTAAATTTATGAAAAAACAAAGTAACTGTGCTACAACATTACAACTGTCTCCATATCACTGGAGGATAGGAATTTTTCAGCTCCATTAGAACCTTGTGGGACCACCACCATCCCATGCAGTTCATCACTGACCAAAACATCATTATGTGGCACATGACTATACTTGTTATTCAAATTATATTACTTATTTTTAACATGTTACATAACTTTAAAAGTATTAAAAATATACCCCATCAAATTCCATGCACTTCTGAGAATGATAAATTACAAATACATTTATACATTTCTAAAAGTCTTCTTTGATCCAACCCTTCCATGTAAGCGAATATCCAAATAATGTCAACCTCAAACTCATATACTGGTAGTTTTATTTCCTTTTTTATCTTGTCAATTTTCTTTATTGAGAGATAATTCATACACCATAAAACATCTTGTCCAGTTTCCAAAAATATTAATTTTGGAGAGTATTACCATCTTAACAATATTAAATATCCTAATCCATAACCATGGGATATCATTCTATTTATTTAGGTCTTCTTTAATTTCTTTCAACATGTTTTACAGTTTTCAGTGTACAAGACTTGCATTTCTCTTGTTAAATTTATTCCTAAGTATTTTATTTTTGATGCTATCATAAATGCAATAATTTCATTTCAGATCATTCATTCCTACTGTATATAGAATTGAATTTTGTGTACTAATCTTGTGTCTTGCAACCTTTCTGAACTCATTTTTTAGTTAATAGTTTGGTTTCAGTCTTGGGGAGCTAAAAAAATGTGGATTCATTCAAATTTTCTGAATACAGATCATGTTACCTGGGAATACAACTAGTTTTATCTCCTCCTTTCCAATCTGGATGCCTTTTATCTTTCCTGCCCAATTGCCCTGGCATCTTTACTATTTTTATACCTCAATTTTTCTAATAATTGTTTAATTTTTAAAAACAGATACTACAATCACAACATTACAAACATTGACTCATCTAACATATATAAAAGCAAAAATGGTCAAGGGCTCTAACTACATTTTGAACTCCTTAACACTTAAGCTAGATACACATACACAAACACACCCCCCTCATTAAAAGATTTACTAAAAATCAAAATTACAGTTACATGAAAAGATTATACTCAAAAATCAGAAGCACATGAACTACAAATCTTCTAGTTGCATGCCTTTTCTTAAAGAGATCTGCAGATAAGGAGTTTTTTTTGTTTGTTTTTTGGTTTCTTGTTACAGAATACCACAATACAGCCAGAAAAAAAAAATCCACAGGGAATAAATCTGGCATTTTAATGCAATAAATCGCGCTTTTTTTTTTTTTCTGAGACACAGTCTTGCTCTGTCACCCATGCTGGAGTACAGTGGCGTGATCTTGGCTCACTGCAACCTCTGCCTCCTGGGTTCAAGCAATACTGGTGCCTCGGCCTCCTGAGTAGCTGGGATTACAGGTGCACACCACCATGCCTGACTAATTATTATGTATTTTTAGTAGAAATGGGGTTTCACCATGTTGACAAGGCTGGTCTCAAACTCCTGGCCTCAAGCAATCCACCCGCCTCAGCCTCTCAAAGTACTGGGATTACTATCAATTTTCTTTTAAAACATGCATATGGTAGTGAACGTCCTCACAAAAATCTAACACTCTGATCTACTCTAGTGGTCATAATTCCTAACTCATTATTTAAGACTATCTAGTTTTAAATTACTTATATAAAAGCATATTTATTGAATAGCTAAAAGACAGAAAATCTCATTTCAACAGCATTTGAAAATTATTAAATAATAATATAAGAGAAAGATTTCAGGCATTCCTTTGAAGTTCATAGATGGCTTGCTTATAATTATTCATGAAAGCCCTTTTAACAGACTCATTTTTTATCATATAATTTATAATAAAAGCTCATAAAGTCAAATATAAAAGAATTATTTCATTTTCCAATTACAGCTGTAAGACCGAACTTAATTTTTGTCCATAAAAATAACAGCTAGTAGCCACAATTTATTTCACTCAGAGGAATACATATAAATTAAGTTAAAAACAATACCCAATCCATTACCTCTTTAACAAGGTGATTGACAGATTGCTGCCCACCTCCAGAGCCCCACACACTATCTTTACGCTTTCCACCTTTAGACATGCTCAGAAGCACAGTAGCCTTATCCAGAGCAGCTCTACAGAGAAAGAAAAAAAATTTAAGTTTGGTAGCTGGACCTAAAGTTTACCAAATTATGGATAAAGCTTACAAAATCCTATATGCCCTAAATCTTTCACAAAACATAAAAGCAAAATAAAATTCAAAACACTTTTTCAAAACAAAAAGGAGCAAAAAAAGTTGATCCTCATGTTAATATTCTCATGCTTTATTTCATTTCTCCTTCAAGAAAAATCAAAACACATTACAAAATAACTGATCTACACTGAGAAGAAACACTTCATATATAATTAACTTTCACCTAGATCCATGCCTTCCTACCCAGGAAGACCATTTCACTATGATGTGAAGTAGCCCTAGAAAATTAATATACAGACCTAAGGAAAACTAAGACATGGCTGAGTCCAAGTCTCCAAGAAATCAAGAAAAATCATATAGCATAACTCCCAAATATCACATTTAGTTATCCCAAATATCATATTAATTATACTAAATCACAAGAGTGAAAAAGATATTTTCTGACTAAAATTTCTACAGTAGATAAATACAAAATAAAACTATAAATGAGGCCTCTCTTGTTAATGTTATCCATCTTATTAGAATATTAAACTACTACAGAATGCTAGAACCTGAAAACAGAACTTAAAAGATCTGTCCAATGGCTTTGTTTCATAAAGAAACTGAGGCCCAAAGAAGAGTGGCTTGACATGAAGGTAATTAATGATTTAGCTAAACTCCAGAACTTTTGCATTATAGTACTGTCCTCTTCCTGGTATGTCATGTCAACATTCTCTCCATTTTAACAGTGGAGAATATAGAGAAGTGACAAACAGATGTACAGAGTTTGATTAATGCCAAGTGTCATTTCAATATGATCCTGTAGAATTTTCCCCTATTTTGAAATTCTAAGTAGGAAAAGTGATTTACTTACCTAGCCTGCACACAATCTACAGTTCCTTTGTAACTATCAATATAGGTATTACATAAAATTCCATCTCCAACAGCTCTAGCAATAAACTGGCCCACCAACTGTAATAAGGAAAAAAAAAAGAGCTATATAAAAAAAATCTTAAATAACTTTTATAGGACACAATTTCTAAATACATAAATGATGAAGATTGGCTGAAGTACACAGTCAGTACCTGAAAGATGCTGGAAGTTTTTTAAAAAAAAACCTATGTAGTACCTGTTATGCCTGGCATACACTCCCACATCTTAACCTTCAAGTTACGTGCCAGAGTGGGGGCCACATCTGTTGTGCTCACTAATGAATTCCTAACACCTTGCACACTGCCTGAATACATAGTACATGTTTTTTTTTTTTTTTTTTTTTTGAGACAGAGTCTCGCTCTGTCACCCAGGCTGGAGTGCAGTGGCGTGATCTCAGCTCACTGCAACCTCCACCTCCCGGGTTCAAGTGATTCTTCGGCCTCAGCCTCCCAAGTGGCTGGGACTACAGGCGCAAGCGACCGTGCCTGGCTAATTTTTACATTTCTAGTAGAGACGGGGTGTCACCATCTTGGCCAGGCTGGTCTCGAACTCCTGACCTCGTGATTCGCCTGCCTCAGCCTCCTAAAGTGCTGGGGTTAAATGAATGATTTAAGGTCAAGTGAAGTCTTCTTTAAAAAAAAAAAAAAAGACTAGGTTCTCTCAAAAACTAATCAAAGGAATTTATCTTGTGGAGAAAGAAAAGTTGTATAGAAATAGCTGGAAGTATGTTCACAGCATTACTTATTATAAAAACTGGAAATTAGTGTCCAAAAATAAAGGTACGGTTAAATGGTATATATGTAAAATGGTATATTACGTGGCCACAGGGAAAGATATTTACCATATTTCATGGTATGAGAAAAATCAAGTTTACAAAATAGCATACATGGTATGATTCCATTTTTTTAATTTAAAAAAATTAAGGATTTATAGAAGTCATACACTGATATATACCCACAGAAAGGAGAATGGAAAACTTAACACCAGTAGCAGTTTTTGCTGGCCTTTCTTCTTTCTGGCTTGTATTTTTCAAAAATTCTACAATAAATATAAACTTATATAATCATTTTGTTACAGTACGTGTATTGGTACAAAAGGAAAAAATGTCTGCATTAGCATCACCACTCAATATCTCATACAGACTACTGTCTGTCATAAGTATTAACAGAAACAGCATTTAGGAACTGACATGCCTATATTCTATTTCTAAATTAATGTTTTAGGTAAAATGATTTTACCTTGATTAAAAACTTTTGACAATAACAATTTCACATGTTTTCAAAGCTACAAAAGGGAAGAGTCTTATTCCTGACTTTTTATAATAAACATTAGTGAAGCAATCGTAACCTACATTTTTAAAAAATCTTAGTTAATAAAACAACTACATATAATAAAGACTATATATATGGCAAAACAAAAAAAAAAGAACTAAAAACTACACAGATCATGGGGGAAAAGTACAACATAACGTTAAATTTATGGCATGATGAAGACCATGTTTAAAAAACAAAAGAACTAGGAAAAAATACACCGAAATGTTAGAGGGGTAGTTCGGTGTGGTAGGACATGTGGGCCATCCCCTTCCATCTACTAAAATTTCCTAGGAGTATACATTACTTCCACAATTAGGAGTATAGTCGTGGGAGGGAATGAACAAAAAGAAGAATCATACAAACCTGTGGTGCTCTAGGAGTATCCAATGCTAATTCAGGTAGATCTTTCAACAATTTATCAAATGATTTTTCCACATCACTTGTGCTCATTACTGTCCCACAAAGGTCAGAAAGAAGCTTAGATGTCATCTCTCTATGACTAGCCTTCCCCTCCAATGCTAAGGACACTGCCAACACCGGTACTCCACTTTTCATTTCACCAAGATTTAAATCTCTTAACATTTCCTGTTCAAAAAAATAATTTAAAAACATTTTTAACGTGTATCACTACCTACAGTTCAATAAAATTTTATTTTTGAAAAATCGAGCTTTTATCTGTATATCTTTACCTCTCACTCTTTGGAAATAATCAAAAGACACAGTCATGTTTTAGGAGATAGGATAAATACACCTTTTTTCCCTGTGCATAAATTAGACATTGATCCACTTTGTCAAGCTTTAACTGCCTTAACATTGCTAAATTCAAAAATGTGAAATACATTTAAAATACTGTCAGGGGTCACTTAACGACATGGATACATTCTGAGAAATTCACCATTTAGGTGATTTCATCAGTGTGCAATCATTATAGAGTGTACTTACACAAACCTAAATGGCATAGCCTACATGTAGGCTATATGGTATAACCTATTGCTCCTGGGCTACAAACCTGTACAGTATGTTACTATACTGAATACTGTAGACAACTATAACACAATGGTTACCTATCTAAACACAGAAAAGATAGAGTAAAGAGTATTATTTGAGACCACAGGTATATATGCAGTCTGTCATGGAAACATCATTATGCAGCTCATGGCTAGTTCATTAAACTACATAATATTGCTAAGATTGGTATTAGGAGTAACTAACCTGCCTTACAATCTATTATTTCTATAAATACTGTTTTATGAGAATTTGTGGAGAAATTCATTTTACATTATCATAAGCTATTTATATTCTACTTTTCTTCAAAGCCTTCTCTTGAAATAAAAATTCACTTTACACTTCTGTATCAAGTTTAAAATTAGATCTTAAACAACTGTTTTTAAATGGGATTATTGGTTTAAAATTCTGGGATAAATTTAAAATTTCCTATTAGAAATATAATAGCTGCAGCTAATATTTATTGACTAATGTATCAGGCATTATAATAGCCTCTTTATTTATATTATCTTATTTAATACTCAAATAGCCCTTTGAGTATTAAATTATCACACCTATCATACTCTAAGCAGAGAGGGCACACAGCTGGAGTAGCCAAACTGAAAGCGGAATAAAGGTAGTCTGACTCTAGAAGCTAAGTTCTAATTCAGTTAGAGTGCCCTACTCTTTAATGAAAGTTTTCTTAGAATCTTTAAATCATGATACACTACTAAGAGAGTGCCAGAACTATTTCACAGCCACCTAACTAGTGTCCTTGTTAGTAATCTCTTCTCACTCACTACAGTTCATCTTCATTGACTGCTCTTTAACAACTAATCCATTACCCTCAAACACGATACTCCTCTTTCCTGGAAAACTATATTAACTGGCGAACTCCTCACCATCCTTCAGAACAGCAGAGAATCATCTCTCCTATTACTCTCTATTTTATGCTTTCCAAACCTACTCAGTCAATAGATATGTAGTATACAGATGGTCTTATGCTAGGTAGATAACAAGATTTCAACAGTCCCTGCCCTCACAGACTCATGGAAACTTTTCCTCTATAACAGAATGTTTCACATACTTTAATAATCTGTTTACATATCATTTCTTTCACTTGACTGGGCTTCAAAAGGGCAAGAATCACCTATTACAAATTCCTCCAGATGGTATGCACAGAACAAATATTTGTCTTATATTCAAATCCTACAAATCCAAAGATAACAAACCTCACAGTACCAGACAAATCATAAAAGTCTAGTCTAAATTTTAAGAATCTAAATGATCAAAGTCTTCTAAAGAGTTACAATTATATTACTTTAATTCAATAATCCTAACTGACCAATAGTTTTATTTTATCCTAAATTTACTTTATGAACAATTCATAATTATTCTCATGGTTTCTAATTCTTTTTCAAATTTTTGTTATTTGTGGGGTTTTTTTTTGGACAAAGTACAAAGGAATTTTATCCTACTTCTGAACATACTTGAAATAAATGTCAAAAAAATGAAACTATGTCAGGCATTCTTAACTGAGGTCCCTGAAGAGGTTTCAGGGGGGTCTATAAGTGCCCTCAAACTGCTAAAATTATATCTTATAAATTATAAAAATTTTATAAATTCATATACATTACAAATCATTATAAAAATTATAAAAATACTGTCATTTTTCAGAGAAGAAAATGGCACATAGCTCTCATCACATCCCAAATATATAACTATTTTAATGTAATGAGATTTTATTCCATGTCTTAGAAATTCACTTATGCAAAAGAAAATGATTAAATTTATTCAGTGACCCAAGATCATTCTAGATGTATTTTGCTTATAAAAGATGTCTTCTCTCCTATATTAAATAAATTACACTTGCAACTTTAAACCTACCGCAACTTCATTAGTATCTCCATGCTCAAAATATTCCTGTATGATTGGTGTTAAAGTCTTCTCAAATGCCCTTTCATCCAAAGGCAAAACTACAGTTTCATAAACACAGTTCTCCTGTGAGGGGAAAAGGGAGTAAGAGTTATAAAAAACAAAATGCAAATAAACAAATGAAATTGTTGTATAATTTTATATTCTAAGTAGTTAATAATCCCCACTTAGCACAAGACAAAGACATGCTACATACATTCATCACATAAAAACAGAATCTAGGCCAGGCAAGGAGACTCATACCTACAATCCCAACACTTTGGGAAGCAAAAGCAGGAGGTTCACTTGAGGCCAGGAGTTCAATACTAGCCTGGGCAACATAGCAAAACCCTGTCTCTACAAAAAAATTTTTAAAATTAGCCAGGCATGGTAGCCTGCACCTGTAGTCCTAGCTACTCAGGAAGCTGAGGCAGAAGGCTCTCTTAAGCCCAAGAGTTTGAGGCTGCAGTGAGCTATAATTAATTCATCACTGCACTCCAGCCTGGACAACAAAGCTAGAAAATAATAATAAAATAATAATAAAAATAGTAGAATGTGTATGTCACTGCTCTTTTACAAAATCAGAATAAGCCAATATATAGATTAGAGCCATTAACCATAGCAAATACATAATTTGCTCCCAACCCCCATGTCTTCTCTTAATTTTTTCTCTCAAAATTTTTATGTCTCTCTCAAAACCAATCTTTCGGTAACCAAAAAGCTTCATGATGGCTTCCTATCATATATGGTATTTTAATTAAAATTTCACTTTTAGAAAAAATGAAGCAGAAACCAAAGCCTTCATGATTAGCATTATTATAATAAAAAGTATAACACAAAGATCAAGGTTGTAGTGACAGAAAAAAATCTCTAAGGAAAAAAGCACTGTTCAATTGAAATTTCAAAAAGAAGATTAACATACATCATCGAACCCTCCTCTCTCCCCATGCAAAACAAGCTCTGAAATGTAGTGTCCCCCCTTATCTACAGGGTGTATGTTCCAAGCCCTGTCAGAGGATGCCTGAAACCACAGATAGTACCAAACCCAATAAATACTGTTTTATCAATCTGATAACCTAGACAGCTACCATGTGACGAATGCACGAGTAGTGTATACATTGCAGATACACACTGGACAACGGAATGGCTCACATCCTAGGCAGGATGAGGTGGATGAAGCTGGACAGCGGGAGATCTCATCACACTACTCAGAATGGCATGCAATTTAAAACTTATGAATTACTTCTGAAAGTTTCCAATCAGTATTTTCAAACCACATTGGACCATGGGTAACTGAAACTGCGGAGAGCGAAACCACGGGTAAGAGGGGACTGCTATATTTGCAACCTGTGACTGGCTTCAGCCTAAAAACATATACTTGAAAGATTAAGACATTTTTAGCAAAGATTCTACAGTACTTGAATCCTACTAGTTTCATATTTTTCATATTCTCTTAGAAATATTTCCATGTCCAACTATTACTTAAAACAGTTAAATACATAAACACACAATAAAAACAATGTAACATATACTCTTAACATTTTCCTGTCTAAAATTTCCATCACCGTGTCTTACCTTATGCAAAGACACGATTTTCAAAAAACATAATCAAAATGTTTGGGATTTGCTTCAAAATAATCCAAAACGGTGGGGGGCAAACGGGCCAAGAGAAGACAGAGAGTAAATGGAATGAAACAAGACTGCCTATGAGTTTGTAATTATTTAAGTTTGTAAAGCTAAGAGAAGAGTACAAGCAGATTATACTATTCTACTTTAAAATTTCCATTAAAAAAAATTAAAAATTCACTACACAATCTTATTAAAAATTTACATTTTCAGTATTATCCCTAAAAGATGCACGTCCCCAAAACAAAATTTATTATATAGTTACCATTCTAAACAGTAATATTTAAAAGCAACCTAGTATCTGTAACTCATAATATTCAAAAGAAAATATTCTCAATTAGCATTACTATAGAAACAAACTATATTAACAGAATTTACTGAAAAATGGTCAACTTAATAATCCTAAGTGAATTTGTGAAGAGCTATTTTTGACTCACTACGGAAACCAAGTGAAAGTTATGCATATATTACTGTCAGTTTACTTGGTTTCCTAATCCAAAACATATATACATATGATTTGACACATGTATGAGTAAACTACAAACATGAAGTCAAAAAAGTTCATAAGCATTTTAAATATTATAAAAAAGCAAAGCACTGATACCTGGTCATCATCATAGTTAGGATCTTTCACATCTACCTCCTCCACATCATACACCTGTCCAGGTGTACCCCAGACACCTTTGCCTCCTGCACCACCTGAAAAAGTTTAGAATTGAGAAAGAAAAAACATAAAATTCATCAATTTGTTGAAATCTAAAATAATCCTAAATGTTCCAATGTTAAATAACAGCTAAAAAAATTGTATTTAATGTCTATGTTAGTTTTTTTTCCAGTTTTCTTTCCCTATTGGTTTCCTTTTTGTTCAGACCACTCTTTCAATATTTCTGAAAACATTAAGTTCGAATAGCTTATGAAGTTAAAAACTAAAAAAGCAGATACTTTAAAATAAAAGCAAAAACAAATAAAGATAAAAAATAGCTATACTGAGGACCTCAAAGGGGATGATATTGCAGCTGAGCTCTAAATTTTATTCGACATTTCTTTGCGACCAAGACAAAAAGAAACATGCTGGGCCAGTAAAGCGTAGCATAGAAAACTCAACAAGGGAAAAATTATTTAACAAAAAAGGACAGTAACCACCATCAAATATTTTAAAGTCAAATATAGTACTCTTTAAATATAAAAGTACACATTAAACCACACTATTAAGCAATATGTTACAAGTACAGAAAACAATACTAATTGCTTTTAAGCATTAACAGCTCTGAAAATTCTATTTTCTAAATACAAAACAACCAATAGAAGCTTAACAATTCCAATTTTCGAAGTTGCTTTTCTACATCAACTTACTGAAATGTTTTAAGGACCAATGCACTACATTATTTTTTAAAGAACCTTTACAATGTCACCAACATTTCTGTTTTTGGAGGGTTTATTTTGTACCAACTATATCCTTGCCATCAGACCAAAATAAAATCTGATAACCAGGTTTCATTTTGATATAAACCATGATTACAAAGCCATTCAACAAAAATAATTGTTGACAGATCACAAAAACATTTTACAAGAAACCTACGCTACAAATTGAAGTTCCCACCATTCAAAAGATGATGAAATCATCAGAAAACTCTTAATCAACAAATATTTGTCTACGACGTGCTAGTCACTATTTCAGGTACTAGAGATACAGCAGTGAAACAGACCAATGCACTACAGAACCCAAAATAAAGAGCTAATGAGAACTCACAACCAGATCTCGGAAAACATTAAAATTCAGATCCAGACGTTATCAATCAAATTTATATTTACTAGTAGTAGTAATGGACATAATTATATTAATTAAATAAGTATGATGGATTTCTGACTCCTTTCAAACTTAGAGAACATATGCAAAACTCGTAACAGTGAAAAACATCAGTGTATATTTTGCTGGAAATAAACCGTTAACATTTTGCTAAAGAAAATTAAATCTACTCAAACAAGAAAAAAGATCAACCTAAAGAAAAAGTGAGATGGTCCTCACCTTATTACTAAGTAAAAATATATACAAACTGTAAAGCCTTATATTATCACTGTTTGAATTTCTCTCATTCCTAGAACAAGGAAATTGTAGTACAAGAACCAGACAATTTTTTTCCACTTGTTTATCTTCCATTTGTTGGACATGATATATACCAACCTTTCTTTGGTAGTCCCCTTCCTTTCCCAGATCTAGATCGCCTATCCAGCAACCTTCCCTTTGGACTGGTTGGCACAGTTACTCCACTTCTAAGGGCGTCACTCCCATTGTCGCTGACCGAATCGCCTCTGCCAGAGTCCCGGGATGAGTTTTTCCTTAGTCGCCTTTTTGCCTTGGCATTAATTCTAGCTTCATTAATGGAGGATGCTGAAATCCAATTTCCATTTATTTCATTCTTTATTTCCTCAGTCCCAGCGTTTTCTTCATCACCGGAAAAGAGACAGTCACTTAAATTATCAGGATCTTAAAGAGAAAAATGAAGAAAGAAAATTCTAAGTATTTTAAGTATCTACTGTTTTACAGACATAGTGGTAAGTTAGATTAGGCTGAATCACATGACACGACCATTTTTGCAGGTAAATTACAGTCGCATATTGGGAATTTCATCTACTTCAATCTAATAAACAACAACTAAACAAGATTATTTTTCACATTATCAAGGAAAGTAAACCAAGGCACTGAATTTTAACAAAGTTTACCAAAAGAAGCATGTTATTTCACGTGTTTAGATCATAAAATCTATGCTAACAGCAACACCAAATATAAAACCCTTAGACTTTTATGAGCTAAGAGAGTTAAGCAATTGGAGATATTAAGAAAAGACAAAGCATCTTGAGACACAAACTAATATTTATAGAATGCCTACTATTATTTATCAGGCACTGTACTAGACACTCTATCATTTATTTATGCACAAGTTTGACAGTTAGTTATAACACTGAGGACAGATAAGGAAACTAAGGCTGAGAATGTTTAAATGATTTGCCAAACATCCCGTAACTAGGTATAAATACTTAAGAACTATTGGTAATCCAAAAAAGAATGAAAGGAATTTAGCAAATAATCCATATGATTGTTAAGCTGAACTGCTGATGCTTTACTGCCTCAAGATAAAGTTTGCTTTCAAGAAAAGCCATCATCTCAAAGTCCTAATTCATCTCCCTAAACTGTTCTCATATTACTTACCATCCTGAAAATCTTCCAGCCTATATAAAATTGATTCTTCTGAAAGAGATCAACATACTGGAGTTTCCAGTGGTTCCCTACTTAGAATGTCACCCTCATTGTTATTTTCAGTTATCAAAATCCTTTAGGGTATAGCCCAAGTCTTACTCCCTCCATTAAAATTTCCCTTACAACTCTAGCTACAGTAACACTAATTGCTCACATACTATTCATTCAACACGTCATGGAAATCACTTTCTTTTTATATAACAGTCTTTTTCTTCCAACTAAGTCATACACTTCAAATGAGAAACCACAACTAGACTGTATGTCCTTCTCTGTATCCCCATCACCTAGCAGAGTGTCCTTCATACTCAAATTCCATGGAGATCAAGTGGAGGCACTTGGCTTTGCCCTGAAAGCTCTTTAAGTCAGAAAGGCTACTGAATTAGCTACCACTGGGCCAGAGTTTTGTTCATTATTGTTAACTCAAATCAGAGCTGAATCACTCAAATCATTTTCTATATGCCTAAAGATAATTATAACATGTCAGGTCTATGTGCATGGACTTTAATGTTTTTAAGATATATTCAAACCAAAAATTTTCATCAACCTATAAAAAGCCTACATGTGTTTAAATCTTTACAATTCTTGACATACTTAGGAAGGTGGGAATGTTTTTTTTAAACAAAATCATCTATTAGAGCCAAATTATTTCACTAGTCTCATAAGTAGTCTCCCTGCCTCCAGTCTTCAAACTATACTGAATGAAGACTGATTTTCTCATGCACGCCCTCACTGAAGATCCTTTAAAAGTAATCCCATTATGTCACAAAAAATGTAAACTCTTTTTTTTTTTTGAGACGGAGTCTCGCTCTGTCAGCCAGGCTGGAGTGCAGTGGCACAATCTCAGCTCACTGCAAGCTCTGCCTCCCAGGTTAACGCCATTCTCCTGCCTCACCCTCCCAAGTAGCTGGGACTACCGGCTCCCGCCACCACGCCCGGCGAATTTTTTTGTGTTGTTAGCAGAGACAGGGTTTCACTGTGTTAGCCAGGATGGTCTTGATCTCCTGACCTCGTGATCCGCCTGCCTCGGTCTCCCAAAGTGCTGGGATTACAGGCGTGAGCCACCGCAGCCGGCCAAAATGTAAACTCTTTACCTTGTAACTTGGATCTTGCCCTTGCTTACCTCACCAGAATCACTGCTAACTACTCCCACACTAAAATTGTCAGAGCTTAAGTTAGATATCATAGGAAGGAGATGGGAGGGATTCATTTGGCAGAAGAATACTGAGTATATTACAAAAAGAGGTATACAGTGGGAAACCACTAAGAAAATGTTTCAGTAATTCAGTCACAAGCTAACTGGTAAAGAGCAAGGGTAGTAACTGGGAAAATAATAATGTTATACTTTTAAAGAAAATAATAAAGGCTTTTAAGCAGAATGTATCTACGATTAAAGAGAAGTGGAACAATGCCTTAAAAGTTTTCGAACTAGTGAGAAGCCGGTGTTAGGATGGTGTGTTTGGGACATCATCACAACCATGAGCAGTAATTACAGTCTTAGTGGAAGCAGCCGTAGTACTGTTTCTTTCATCATTACCACTACTATTGTCAACTATTAGATTCCAGGTTCCACACTACATGGTACCTATTAGATACCAGGTTCTATGCTAGGCACTTTACATATGTGGTCTATAAGCCTCAAAAGCTGTAGAAAGAAACTGTTTATCCTCATTTTACAGAAGGAATGTGTTTCACAAGAAGTTACATATCTAGAAAGGATTATGGCTAGGATTCAAACCCACATTTTTAATCCCATATGACTATAACTACAGAAAATACAAAACTGGAATACAGCAGAGTATTGACAGCTAAAGAGAGAGAGATGGACAAGGGAGTGAAAGTAAGAGATAAACAAAAATGATTAAGTGGAAGGGGACAGAAAGACCAGGATCAGATAAATTAGATGACATTTTCATGTAAGAGTGGATGGTTGAGAAAAACATTAAATATCTACCTGTAACATAGTGCTTTCATCATTGCACTATTAAGGTGAACCACAAAACTAGTCCAGAAGACACAGGACTCAGAACTATAATAAAATGTCTTAAACTGTCCCTTGGAGTATTCAATTTAAATGTATCTATTTCCCATAATCAAGTTTTCTTTTCTTCAACCATTTTAATATTCTTTCAAGTATGTTTATGTCTCTGCAGCAGTAAACATTCTCTCTCAGTATAATTTATATATTTGACCTATAATTTTTAACCCATGTTTATATTAATTGCTTTACAATTTGTTATTCATACTAACCTAAGTGTTGGAGTTCCATAGCCCCTATTGAGCTGACTTTAAGAAAACCAAAATTAAAATGATAACCTGAGTACAGAATGTGATGACTTCAAAATTGTTTTCTATTGTGTACTAATTCCCTCTTTCTGAATTCTGACATCTCAATAGTAACCACTCTAATTGTATATGACCACAGCACCCGAAAATCACATTTTCAATTACTGGTGTCCAATGAGTGGCATAATTAGAATATTACCACATTTTCATGTATTACATACCTAGTATGTGCTTCACAGACTTAACACACATATACAGTATCTCACTAAATCCTAATTATAAATCTATACAGAGGGTGTTTATATCCCAATTTTATACAGTAAGAAACTGAAGGTCAGAATAAATAACCTACTTCCTCCAAGTAAAAGAGTAAGAGTGTGACTTAGACTATTTGCTATAGAAAGAATTTACTACAAAGAGGGTCTGTCTTACGCCTATCCAAATATTGAAGAACAAGTTTTTTATTTTAAGGCAGTGCTGGACAGAAGCACCAAGAACAGGGTTAAAACTAGGTCTTATTGTAGTTAGGAACAAAAAGTATACATTTTAAAGCTATGTTTCTATTTCTGATAGAAATAGAATGCAAGTCATAAGAAATTGTAAACTTTCCAGTAACCACATTAAAAATTAAAACCAGGTGAAATTAATTTAAATACATTTTATTTAATCTAATATAACCATAATATCATCTCAACATGCAAGCAATGTAAAAAATTATTGAGATAGTTGACCTTCATCTCAACTCAGAGTAGCCACATTTCAAGTACTCAACAAACACATGTGGCGAAGCGCAGTGGTGCACACGCCTATAATCCAGCTACTGAGGAGGCTGAAGAGGGAGGATCACTTGAGCCCAGGAGTAATAATAACCACATGTAGCTAGTGGTTACCATACTGGAGAGTGCAGAAAAGTAGCAATTACCTATATGTAAAATATATTCTTAAACTATATTACCATCCCCATCTCAATTAAGTAGGTACATATTACCCATTTATAACCCTAAAGCATACTCATACAGCTTCTGTACATAGCAGCACAGAAATATCATTAATTACATAAAAATTTTTTCAATTTTTTACCACACTTTAAAAAGATCTGTAAATAAACAATGGTAAAGAAGCTTCAAATTCAACATGTTTGTTCAGATCAAAGAAAACTATGTATGTTGTAAACAACAGTGAGTTGTCATTGAAGAAATAAAGATGTAGTAATGAAATACACTTAAAATCACAGAAAATACACAGCTTTCAATATTAATAAAATTATAAGGCAAAGAATCATCTAAAGTATACCAATATGAACTGTTCTCACTATTCAGATATTATACAATTCTAATTACCTTTTTGGGGAGGTGATTTTGAAAACTATAAATACATTTTAAATCGTCTTGAGCTACTCACATTTGGTCATCTATTCCACAAAACTTTGTTCATTTTTATGATAATAACATACTATTGAAGCACCATGGAGAATTAGGGAAAATACCCTAGGTAATTCAGAATATAAAAATTATTCGTTAAGATAGATATCAAAAGATACCAGTAAGTTAATATTACAGAAATCACTAACTAGCCCATGTGAAAATAAGCAGGCTCACTATTCTTCTCTATTCTGTACTACATAATGCAGGATAGGAATGTGTGGAATGTGAAAGGATACGCAGAAAAATAGGACATGTAATGAATTCCCATGAAAATAAAAATCACAAACCTGACTTTAAAAATAATATAGCCTGTTTTCTTATAGCATGAATAAAGCAGTATTTAAAGATAGTTTTTCTATCATGTTTTTATAAAATATGGAATGGTCTGAAGCTTACTCACAACATAGTCAAGGTTCAAGATACTCAGCCTGGGCAACATAGTGAAATTCTCTCTCTACAAAAAATAAAAAATTAGCCCGGTGTGGTGGCACATGCCTGTTGTCCCAGCTGCTGAGGAGGCTGAGATAGGGGAGGATCTCTTAAGCCTAGGAAAGTGGAAACTGCAGCGAGCCATGATCACACCACTGCACTCCAACCTGGGTGACAGAGCAAGATCCTGTCCCAAGACGAAGGAAAAAAAGAAAAAAAAAAAAGGAAATTCTTACTTACCTGCAGGGTTTACATTCAGTATCTGCTCACTTTCTACATCCATTTTTCCTTAATTTCACTTGCACTGATTAAACAAATTACCAAACGGAAGTCTTCCTTCAGAATCTGTTTTTTTAAAACAAAAAAAGAAAGCTTCAACATCTTTTAAACTGATGTAATTAAGCTGAATTAAACTTACTTAAGCACATTGTAAAAACAAAAAACAACAAAAAACATAATTCCAATAAATAAAAGAGTTCACTTTACTTTCAAAGACAACTTACCCTAATTAACATTTGGTTCCAATCTTCTTGATAAATTTATCTAAGTCAAAAAAAATTCCAGATTTCAGCATGTGCCAAAGCACCCCTTTAATTGGAATTAAAAGATATGTTTGCGATATGTGGTTATGTCAAGTTAAAAAAAATACACACATCCAAATCTTTTAGGAATACTAAGCCTCAAAATTAATCTGATATACATATATAGGAATATAAATACTGGATAGTTCCCTACCATTGAATTATGAGAACTACTCCAAAATAAAAACAACAAAGTTTTAGTTAATAAAGAGTATCACATGACTGTGTTATTGTTCACATTACGGCATATCTGAAAGGCAGAGATATCTGCCACTCATTACCTAGGTCTATAATTACCAGAATAAGACTTTGAGATTGGGAGAAACTTTTAAAATCAGCTTTTTTGATAATATTACTTATATGAGAAATCCATTTTTTAAAAATCTGATCATTTCAGAAAGGAGTAAGTACAACGAGATAAGCATCTCAGTATTTTAGGCCTCAGTTTCAAAATGGCTTAAAAATTATTAATACTGGAAGGTTTGATGAAATCAGTTACCTTTTAGACAATTAGTGATACAGATCCAATGTTATATGAAAGAAATATCAAAATAGTTTTCAAAAAATATATTACCAGAAAAAGCGCAACCAAATTAAGATTTCAGAATCTCTCTAGAAGTATTTTTAAAATAGTGGTTTAGAGTACTTAAGTGTATGTTTAAGTCACATAGGTTGGATATAAGTCCTTCCAGTCATTTACAATCAGGCTGCTAGCAGTGTGCTCTTCAGAGATATAAAATGCACAAATTAATGGAAATGCCTAATAATTACAGAAAAGCAAATTTTTTTCCATATAACGTAACCTACTGTTAGATGTCATTTAAGGATAACAATGATATATGCAGAGCCTCCTGGGACTCAAAGGTGAAACTGACTTTTAAATTCCACATTATATACTATTATTTGCTAACACAAGTTTATAGCCCTTTTCTTCAGAAAAGGGTACTATTTTGCAAAGCAAAAACAAATGGACCTTGTGTTAAAATTGTAAGGTTTTTTTTTTTTTTTTTTTTTTTTTGAGATGGAGTCTTGCTGTGTTGCCCAGGCTGGAGTGCAGTGGTGTGATCTCTGATCTCTGGCTCACTGCAAGCTCCGCCTCCCGGGTTCACACCATTCTCCTGCCTCAGCCTCCTGAGTGGCTGGCCCTACAGGCGCCCACCACCACGCCCAACTAATTTTTTGTATGTTTAGTAGAGACGGGGTTTCACCGTGTTAGCCAGGATGGTCTCGATCTCCTGACCTCGTGATCCGCCCGCCTTGGCCTCCCAAAGTGCTGGGATTACAGGCGTGAGCCACTACCCGGCCTATAAGCTTCTTACTATGGCATAATCCTCAGACTAACATGCTATCATATTGCATGGGAACTTAACAAAACGGTGAAATCATTCTCTAATTCTATTTAGAATAAAATAATGTGAATCTTTAAAATCACTTTTTAATACAACTTCCGCCAACTTTAGATATGAAAAAAATCTTAAAAATATGTAGAGATTCATATAAATACATGAACAAAAATGGTTTGCAAATCTAAACATTCAGCATCCTTCATGGCTGAAAAGGCTACATTCTGTTTTAATTCCATGCATGAATTACATATAGGAAAGGAATGTCATATGTGTTTCAGTTTTTTAGAGTTCCATTACAAAGTCTTTTTCATTCTTGATGAAAGCATAACCTTTGAGAGAATATTTTCTGCAGAGCCCAATAAGTGAAATGATTATAACTAATGTTTATAAAGCCCTTTACAATTCAAAAAGAATTGTACATGTATTATTTAATGTACCTTACAGAACAATCTTCAGGTAAGTATTCCACCTTACACACAACTAAACAGATTCGGAGAGGATAGGTGATATGTCCAACGACAGCCAGCTGCTTAGTGGAACAGCCAGGACGAGAATTCAGACCTTCCAAATCCAGTACTGTTTGCACAAGTTCAATCCAAGATTTTAATAACCCACAGGAAGATTATTTTCAAGGGTTACCAGAAGCTTATTAAAACAGACTTCTGCTGTTAAATCCAACTTTTAAATGCTGTTTTCCAAACACTAAAAATAATTATTTTAAACTATTATACAGAAGGCATTCCGTCAAACAAAGAAAACTGTCAGGAAATGACTATCATCTCTTTTATTAAGATAAAAACAAAGTTATCTTAATAGTCCTGTGTCGTTAGGCAATGATAACCTGATCAAGAACTCAAGTCATATTTGATAGCAACAAACACATTTTAAGAGTTTAGATAAGCGTAAGACATGTTCCACGTTTTTCTTCTCTTTAAAGTAGTAGGATTTTTTCCAATTTATTTAACCACCCTTACTTGGCCCAAACAAGAATATATAAAGCAAAAAATCCAAACCCTATTTCCTTCATACTAACCTACAAAAATGAATTTTCGATGAGAAAACTATACATACAAGTTAGAAGAAAATGAAGGCTAACATTAAACACTGTCCTTTTCTTCAGTGTTACATGAAACAAGCAATCAGAAGTATTCAATTGCCAAGACATTCCCTAAGAGATAGACCCTCCACTCTCCCACGAAATATATATATATATATATATATATATATATATATATATATATATATGTATTTCCTGAAATATACCTCATAAATTGCTCTGGCATTTTGGGGAGTCAAGCTTTGGCCATTTATTAACTAGGATTACTTGTATTCATTCTCCGGCTACAAACAGCTAATTAGCAGCTTAAAACCAGCTAAAAGCATTCTACTAGAGTAATGCAAAAGTGAGCACTACAGATAATATTCAAGTAGCATTTATTTTTGCAGTCCTAACAATTATTTTTCCTTTCACATTAGTACCACACAAAAAGCCAATCAATTATAATTCAGAGACACTTATTGAAATATTAAGGTATTCAATAAGCCTATAATGAAGGAATATTAAGGGTATAAATGCCAGTAACTCCTTGCTTAAAAAGCACTTGGTGGTTTCCCAAAAAAAGTCACGTTATCAAAATCATAAAAACTAAAGTAAAAATACAAGTTAAAAAACAAGGGAAACCCTTTTTTGCCAGACATGTAGTCGCATTTCTGATCGTTTTCATCATTTGTAGACACTACACAGTCGCTGGCTATGTAGCGAGTTCTCACAGGGGGTAGGTGGGCGACATTGACGTCTGCAAACAGTTTTGAAGCTCTTGCAAAATTCCATGTACGTTACAGCATCAAACTGACAAATGCAGCAGACGGCATGCGTTTCACAGAAAGGGGGCTCCCTTCCCAGCTTTGTTTTCTCTGGGAGATTATATTTTACCTGAACTAAAAAAAAAAGAGACCCTTTGCCGGAGGACTGGCTCGGCGAAGTTCGCGCGGGGCTCGGGCGGCGGGCACGTGTTCGCCTTCTAGGGCCCCCCCGGTGAGGCTAGCGCGCGGCCCCTCCCCACAGCGGCCTGGCCCGTTCTCCCGCAGCGGGCTCAGGCCAGGACCCCCGAAGTCCCCAGCCCGGGTCGGCCTCCGGAAGGGGCTGGGCCGGGGCCGGGAACGGGGCTCCGGGGTCACGCCGAGCAAGGGGCCGCATCTTCAGAGAATTCCCAGGGAGGGCAGGGGGCGGGGAGGGCACGAATCTTCCTCACAGGATTTCAGTCCAGCCGGAAACACGCCTTCCAATCCCGGCCCCTGAATTCAACCTCCGCCAGAAGGGGAGGTGGGTTGAGGGAGACCTTCGAGGGCAAGCGTCCCGCGCGCCCCTCTCAGTGGGAAGAGGGCTCCGGGAGGGGGCGGGCCCGCGCCACCACGCTCCAGGCTGGGCCCAGAAAGAGGGAACCGGGCCGGCTGCCCGCAGTCCGGGGCGTTGGGGCGGGCGCGGCTGTACCTATGGGGCTACGAGGAGGCAGCCGGGGCCCCGCACCGCTGGCCCGGACCTAACAGGGCCGCGGCCCCCACGCCCCCGCCCCCTCCCATCGTGCGGCTGCCTCCGAGGGGGAATGGGGGAGAGAGCGCAGTCTTCCCGAGCGTGTGAGCCGCGCCTACTGGTACTGACCCCTCCGGCCCCCGCCGCTGCTCGCCCAGGTCCCTGGTCAGCCGGCCCCGACCCCGCTCTTCTGGCTCTGCCGCCGCCTCGGAGAGTCTCTGGCCCCTCTCGCTCTGTTTGTTTTTGTTTTCTTCTACCCAGTAACACGGGGGCGAGAGGACGGCGCTTATTGGCCAAGGCCGGGTGGTCGGCTGGCCAATCGTGGCGGTGGAGCCGGAGCTGAGGCGGAAAGGGGAGAGGAGTGAAACGTGGAAAGTTGGGGAGGGGCGCGGAGGGCGCATGCGCTTTTGGTTCCTGGGACTGGCTGGAGCGGGAGCGGAGCGGGAAGCCGGGGTGGGGGTATGTTGGGAAGCGTGGCGAGATGGGAGCGTCGGGAAAAGGGCAGTGCTGGGGGATGGGAACGAGGATGAAGCGGCCTAGTCCCAGCTCACCCATTCTCCTCACAGGGCGTTCTGCAAACTGGGCTGAAGCACAGGTTTTGAGCTTCCTGAGGTCGCTGCCTCCATTTCTAGACACTCAGGCGAACACTCCAAGTGATCAGCCTGTCCGATTCCTCCTCCCTCTGGCCCCTGCTTTCTCCATGACTTCTAGTTTCTGCAGATCCCATGCTAAGAAGTTTCTCTCAGCGAATCCCCTCAAACCTTTGAGATAGAAATAATTCCCATTTCACAGATATAAAACAGGCCCCAAAACTCTTTGAAGTCCCTTTGCTAATCTTGACTCGCCAAGCCTCTGGCGTTCAAACGCACTAATTCCGGACTCCAGTGCTGGGAATCTCAGCCATGGCTACAATTTCTGTATTGAAACTTCCACCTCCCCTCGCTGTTCTCTCTGACTTTTCCTCTTGGCTGCATTCGTTTTGCCTGGTCCTGTCCTTATTCTTTCAACGTCACGGTCCCCTGAGGGTGATAACCAGAACCTTATGCTTCCTCTGTGCTCCCAGGAGGGGACTTAGCCACAACCTCTGATAAGATTTTTCAGTTGTCTGATGGGCAGCATCTGAATGATTGCTTGGTCCCTCCAGAACCCAACTGCCTCATCCCGCACAGGCCAGCGCCTTCCCTTGGCTGGCCTGTCACCCTGCCTGGAAATCATCTCTAATGCTTCTATTTCTCTGCTATTTCACACACACACACACACACACACACACACACACACACACCCCTTCACTGGCTTCCCACTGCCTCTCTTGAGTGTCAGCGCCACGGTCGGTCGTTCAAGGCTCCACGATGTGACTTAAAGACTTTCAAGATGTGTCTCCACACATATCCCTATATGCCTCCTCAACCCCTGGTAATTCTTTTTTTTTTTTTTTTTTTTTTTTTTTGAGACAGAGTCTGGCTCTGTCGCCCAGGCTGGAGTGCAGTGGCCGGATCTCAGCTCACTGCAAGCTCCGCCTCCCGGGTTTATGCCATTCTTCTGCCTCAGCCTCCCAAGTAGCTGGGACTACAGGCGCCCGCCACCTCGCCCGGCTAGTTTTTTTGTATTTTTTAGTAGAGACGGGGTTTCACCGTGTTAGCCAGGATGGTCTCGATCTCCTGACCTCGTGATCCGCCCGTCTCGGCCTCCCAAAGTGCTGGGATTACAGGCTTGAGCCACCGAGCCCGGCCAACCCCTGGTAATTCTTTATATATCACCTTGAAATGTCTCTCTTCTCATCTCCTATCTCTACCTGGTGCAATCCTTCTGTGCCTCATGGCCCTCCCTGGTAGTTTTTTATTTTGTTGTTGTTGTTGTTTTATTTAATTGAGGCAGGGGCTTGCCCTGTAGCCCAGGAGAATGCAGTGGCATGATCACAGCTCACTGCTATCTCGACCTCCCTCAACCTTCCTGGTTCAAGCGATCCTCTCACCTCAGCCTCCTGAGTAACTGGGACTACAGGTGCCCCTCACTATGCCCAGCTAATTTTTGTATTTTCTGTATACACGGGGTTTCATCATGTTGTCCAGGCTGATCTTGAATTCCTGGGCTCAAGCAATCAGCCCACCTGTGCCTCCCAAAGCATTGAGATTATAAGCGTGAGCCACCATTCCTGGACGCTGGTAGTTTCTCTGGAGCCTCGTGATTTGATATGATCTTCCTACCCCTGATTCTTCACAGTATTGTCTTGTCACACCTCCAGAGGCACTGATCACATTCTACCTGGCATCATTTTATCTGAGTCCCTGTCTAGCCCTTCTGCCCATTAGACTGTAACCTTGTTTAGGGAAAGACCTGTGTCTTACTCATCTGGGTTTTGTTGTTGTTGTTGTTGTTGTTGTTGTTGAGACAGGGTCTTGCCCTGTTGCCCAGGCTGGAGAGCAGTGGTGCAATCTCTGCTCACTGCAGCCTGGACCTATCGGGCTTAAGCCATCCTCCCACCTCAGCCTTCCAAGTAGCTGAGACTACAGGCGTGTGCCACCACACCCAGCTAGTTTTTTGTATTTTTAGTGGAGACGGGGTTTTGCCATGTTGCCCAGGCTTCTCTTGAATTCCTAAGCTCAAGGGATCTGCCTGCCTCGGCCTCGCAGAGTGCTGGGATTACAGGCATGAGCCACTGTGCATGACCCACTCACCCGTTATTGTAGTACTTAAGATACCTTGTTCATTTATTGTGCCTGTGCAAAATACACCTTGATTTGAGTTTACAAAGATTCTCAGCAGTTGGTGGTCATCCTCATCTCCTGGGCAGTGGCCTCCTGGCATGGCCAGTATCTGAATTAGTCTCATAATTCATGTTCACTTTTTAAAATCAGAGCTTCCCAGACCTCAGTTTTGTTTTGTTTTTTTTCCATTATCTGCAGCTGTCTCCTTTCCCCTCTCTCACCTATACTCTACTGATCAGTGACTGCTGGCTCCTTTGTTACCATCCTTCTCTTTCTCCACATTTTTTCTCTTCTCATTCCTTTCAGTTTCCAACCCTTTCCTTCTTCCTCCCTGTCTTCCATTTAGTCATTCATTGAATGTACTTACTCAGCACCTATAGCACAATCAGGCTGTGTTGGATAAGCATCCCAAGATCTATGAGATAAGGAAAGAATGGAATATGATTACTAATTTTAAAAAGCATCTAAAACAACCTGTTATGTTTTAGCAAATTGCCCCCAAAGGACCCATTAGGAGGAAAATGTTCGTGTCTTTTTTGCATATTATCTCAAGCAGTACCCATGATGGCTGGGGGGGATTATGGGGATCCCAGAACCCACCTTTGAGAATGCTGCCATATTTGCGTGTGGTTGACAAGGTTGGACCAGACACTCAGGAAATGGGGTTGTAGCCCTACCTCCCCCACTAACTTCCTGTAAGAACTTCAGTCCCTCTCAGGACCTTTTTCTTTACCAATAAAATTCAGAAATTGGGCTCAATCACTAATTCCCAAAGTATTTTCCAAAGAACACAAATTTTGTGGAACTTTGATATCATGCAAAAAAAAAAAAAAAAAAATGTGGGAGGGATTGTTCCATGGTCAAATGCTCTTGGAAATAACTCGTTTAAACAAAGATAAAACTGTTTCTTTACCCACAACTCTTCTCAGTGTTTTGTTTGTTTGTTTTTTGAGATGGAATTTTGCTCTTGTCGCCCAGGCTGGAGTGCAATGGCACTATCTCGGCTCACTACAACCTCTGCCTCCCGGGTTCAAGTGATTCTCCTGCCTCAGCCTCCCCAGTAGCTGGGATTCTAGGCACCTGCCACCACGCCCGGCTAAGTTTTACATTTTTAGTAGAGATGGGGTTTCACCGTGTTGGCCAGGCTGGTCTCGAACTCCTGATCTCAAGTGATCTGCCCGCCTCGGCCTCCCAAAGTACTGGGATTACAGGCATGAGCCACCGTGCCCGGCCTTCTCAGTGTTTTTAATAAACTATGTGCCTTTAGCATCTTGGGACAGCAAGGTAGGAAGATTAGTAATGCTTCCTACCTTGTTTGAACACAGAACATTTTTTTCTCAAGATACCCCAGAAGCAGTGTTACTTAGAAACCAACTTGGGAAATATGGATGATAGCCACTATCACCAACATTCCTTCCAACTATGTTGAACACTAGTCACCTGTGCCTTTGCAGCTAAACATTTAAAAAAAAATGTTTTTAAGAATAAGCTGAAAATGGAAAAGTATCCAAGTGCCAAGAATTTTTGCCTACCAAATCAATCCAGAAATATTTTAGTGTGTGCCTGTTCTGTGAAAAGCACAGTTGATTCAGCTATGTTCTTGGTAAAAGGCATTGTACTACTTTAGGGTAGGTAATATCTGAAGCCTAGAGCTGCCCAGGCTTCTGGGCCACAATGTACATTTTCATTTCACGTTGTAATTGTCACAAACTAGGTTTCTGTTACCTGAATCCCTGTGCCTATGGGCTTATGTTAATTTAGCTATTTATGACAGAAAAGGAGAGAGTCCTTCCGCTGAACTCACTCTATACAGAATAATGGAATTGCAACTTCCATTTCCCTTGAGAATGATTCATTCCAAGAGTTTAGGAGAGGAAGGGAGATCACAGTTGCCCAGAACAAGACAGCTGTTCAGAGATGGCAACAGAAAGCTCTGTGCTGTGTGAGCAGATAAACGTTATATACCTCATCTTCCCCGTACAACTCAGGCTTAAGCAATATTGAGATACTTGGAGGGGTGCAAGTGTTTGGTTTTATTAGGGGAGAGGGTGGGAGATAGTTTCTATTTTTTGCCTCTTAAGACAAGGTAGCGACCCTGTCCCTAACTAGCTGTGTTGCTTTGGGTGTTTCGCTTCCTCTCCCTGGGTGAATTGAATGCTTCGATTTTCTGTGCTGTAAAAGAAGGAGGTGCCCGCCACAGGGAGTTCATAAGCAGTCATTCAGTTCTAATACCGTGGGATGCTGAGCAAGGTACTGAGTTGGTACCATGGGAGTCCTGGGAATGGAGAACAAGAGATAAGAGTTTGCTGACTGGGTGCGGTGGCTCATGCCTATAATCCCAGCACTTCAGGAGGCTAAGGTGGGAGGGTCGTTTGAGGCCAGGAGTTCAAGACCAGCCTGACCAACACGATGAAACCCCATCTCTACTAAAAATACAAAAAAAAAAAATAGCTGGGCATGGTGGTGCATGCCTGTAGTCCCAGCTATTCGGGAGGCTGAGGCAGGAGAATCTCTTGAACCCAGGAGGCAAAGGTTGCAGTGAGCTGAGAGCACCATTGCACTCCAGCCTGGGCGACAGAGAGAGACTCCGCCTCAAAACAAACAAAGAAAGGAGTTTGCCACTGTTGGCAGGAGAGGATTC